TCACATAACCGATATGCACTCTATTAGAAAAAATTACTATTTAAAAAGTACAAAACCAATTACTATATCCATTATAAATCATAGGGACTATTTGCTTAAAAAGGGGGCAGGAAGCTAGAGCATTGTTGCAAAGAAATGTCTTCATTTTTAGAAGATTCTGATCATATTACTTTTTAATGTCAAAAATAAAGCAAGAAATGCCAGAATTTCCCCCACATTCTTAAAAAAATTGTCCCGATCTTACCACTTATTCTGATTTTTTTCTTATTCCTTTTCTCCATCAATTCCTGATTTTCCCCCTAATTTTTCATTCCATTGAAGCAGTTCTTGGCAATACAACACAGCCCCATATGTCAGTATTGGCAGAGAGGACACATCCAACAGCTGCTACATCCTTGCACCTACAAAGACTTCACCTGCAAGGGCTCTGCTGCTTTCATCCTGGCTCCCACTCTTCTTACTCTTTCTCCGTCTAGCACAGCAGTTCTTCTCTGGCTGGGAAGGCCAGTAAGCACTTCCTTCACAGACTTAGTGCAGCTGCCACTGTGCTCTCTGGAGCAGCCAGAAGAGGCTGCCCTGACAGCAGAGTGGAAAGAATGCTTCAGCATAGTGAAAACAAAACTCTTCAGTTTGACATCCTGGGACCACTCAAGCAGTGACTAGCGGCAGATGATCAAAATTGGGCTAGTTACAATGAAAGGGCTTCCACGCTATTCGTTTATGTGTCACTCAAGGGCACAATGATTATTTATTGCACTCCCACGAAAATGCTACCCACTTAGATTACTTTCAGAACAAAACTGTTCCTTTCTATGCTACCCTGATGACATGAGAACCACTGCCCAAGAAATGCAGAAGAATAATATTTTTGTATTACATACACTCACACATACGAATATATGAATACTTGAATACACACACACACACACACACATACATACAGTATGTATAAACTTTATTTTAGAACTAACAACATGCAATTATTACGTATCTCCAAAAGGCAAGAACTAAAACAGAAGCAAGAAAGACACAAAATTTTGGCTACTTCTAATTAAAACTAGAAACATGAGGTTGTCTAATTATGCTCCCATCAGCATTCTCCTTTTCCGTCAACACACAATATTATATTCATGAGCTCGCTGATTACGCACACTGTATTTCAAATTATATAAGAGTAGAAGAATGTGAAAAACCCATTACCAACAATCAGTTCATTGTATGAGTTCATACACAGATTTCCCAGAATTTCCTACCGTTCTAATTGCTGTAGGGATTCCAGATTCATCTACCGGGCCAATCCCTGCATAATGTGGAGCTTTAATTACTGTAATTTTTTTTTCTTCTTCTGAGGTTCTACAGATTGGTATTGTACTGGTGGCGGTGCTGCTGCCAACATTCTGAACATGCTGTGAGTACGTCTCTGTGGACTCTGTAAAGATAACATGACAGAATATCATGTGATGACACAATAATCATATTTGGCAGTTAAAACACACTTCCCCATTTCAGTATGCTGTACAAAGACTGACAACCTTAATCCCATACATATACAATATTTTTAAAAGAAATATCATCTTAACTAGGGCTTTGCCCTACTTAATATTTCATTATTAGAATTATAAACTTCTCTAATGACCAGGCAGGCTATTCAACACAGATCTTATTAGACTAGAAGCACTTTTTCACGACATCTTGCTCACAAAAAAGAGAATCCCCCCACATGCGCAGAAAAGTCTATTGAGAAAGGTGCAGCAACCTTTCTCTTATAAATCAAACTCTTGCACCTTTCCTACTCATTCCTTGGAAACTAGTGACATAATTTCAAAACTTCCACTCCCCCAAGTTTAGCAAACTATAGAAAATAGCTGCCCTGCAAGCATGTCAAACAGCCTTGCACAAAAAGTTATGTGCTTAGAAAAAAAATTATGTTCATATGTTTATGTGCCCCTACATATAATACATAAAAATGGACTTGAGTAACTTGGCATCCGTAGAGCAACATGATGATCCACCTACAGTGATTCAGGTGAACTGTGCAAGCTGCTACTGGTTTGTAGTGACTTGTAATACTTCTACCCTTCTCCTTCAAATCTACCCTTATAATTAATGAAATTAATATATCCCTATTACCATTTCCTTCTAAAATTCAGAGTAATTTATTTGACAAAAAAACACTTGGGATGTGACAGGAAGAATAGCCCTACTCTTCAGCCAGCAGGTTTCAGTAAATTAATGGACTGCTGTGACAAAGCCTCTACTCTGCAAAAGCAGATACAGCGAAACATTTCCACTGCAGGATAAATGAATGCAGGCAGTCAAAATATACATTCTAACACCAGTATAACAATTACAATTGCCTTTCATGTGACATTAACATCTACTGATTATTCTAAAGGAAAATAAATGAATTGTAACATGAATCAACAAAAGGAGGTCTAGTGATTGAAAGCTCTAATTTTAAGTAGAGTATTTCTGCTCACTCCCACTGGAGAGCTGGATTTGGCATGGCTGTTTCAGCTACTTAGTCAAGTCTGAAATCCTGTAAATAATCCAGTGCTACACATATATGGCGAGGGGCAACTCCGTGTGGCAAACGTCTAGATATTTGGAACTTTTTCCCAAAAAGCATGATGTTAAATTTAGAAAACATTTTGGATTTGATCCCTCATTCTTCATAGGTCTCAAACTGAGACCATCAGGGGGATTTTTACATGAGTAAGGAGAATTAAATCAGGCTGTTACTGTGCAACACTGAACTTCAGCACCATGCAAGAGTGAAAATCATGGGAAAATACACATTTCATGTATATCCAACCATATTGACAAGGCCTTAGATTGTCAAACTGGGAGCAGTCAAAAAACCTAGAATTCTGGGGTTTGGAGAAACCCGTGTATACAGTTTTTGTACTTATCACGATGATGATAGCAGCATTTTTCTAAGCTGCAAGTCCCAGAGCGAGAACTGTCACCTAATTTTCCTGCAAGCATAACAAAAATGTAAACTCTAGGATCAAATTAAAACTATTTTGCATGTATAATCTTATCTGAATATGCAAACACTGGTAGAAAAAGCAGCAAGCAAATGACTCTTATGGTAAAACTGGATTATACTGGTAAAGAGCCTTTAAGCCTTTCTAAGGCTGATGTTTGTTTTGGGTTTTTTTTGTTTAGTTTGTGTTTTTTTTAATTAACAACGTCCTAAAATACATAAACAAATTTTAGATCGATGTGGCTTTAGGTATTCAAAAGCCCAGAGCCTCTCCCTTTGTTGGCAGTATTTGTACTGGAGATTATGGAAGTTGAGGGGAGGACCAACGTACAAAGTTGGCCCTGGTTTCTTAAGGCAAAATCTGAAGAGGCTGCACCGGCCGAGCTATTTTGATAGATTCCCTTTCCTCAGTAAAGCTAGCAGAAAGTTGGCAAGAGGTCACTCACACACCTAACAGCAACATCAGTTCAGGATCACCACTGTATCTAACAATAAATGCTATTTTTTTTGCATTTATCTCCCAAGGTAGATGAATAGACAATACCTTCATTATGGACGTGAAGCACTCCGCAATTGTTTGCAGTCTTTGCCACATGAATTGGAATATGTTGTGCAATGTATAAAGCAAATATTCTGTGTGAGGCTTACCCATCATCCTGCCATGCTGCATGATAACAATGTTGGAATTGAGTGAAGCTGGTGGAGAATAAGCTGAAGAAGGGGAAAAAGGCCTTTGAAAGTGACTCACTGGGCTGGCAGCAGTGCCAGAATTCCCATTCACTGTGATCTGAGCCTGAGAGAGACAAAATAATAACCCATTAAACTACACACAAAGCCCTCCGACTGCCATCCCAAAGAAAGAATGATGCAAGACTGTCATCCACGCAACAATTACCAGTTGTCAGGTACACAGCCATAGTGGCATCTGCATTCACTGAAACACAAAACTTATCACAAAGGGAGCAGAGCGTCTTCCTTATATACCTTGTACCACCCCTCTTCTCTCCTTGTATGGGCTGTCTGTGACACATGCTGTCATGGGAAGGTGACAGAGAGATCACGGTCAGGGCAATGGAGATGGCACAAACAAGATTTGCAGAGGTCTGAGAGCAATATAAAATGAAGATGGCAGTAAAAGTTCCTCTCGTGCGAACAAAGGCTGTCTGTCACAGATCCTCACGCCAAGAGACATATTCCCCTAATGCACGTGCTCAAGCACTATTGATATTAATGGGAACTTCTGTGCAGACTGAAGGGAAAAGCCCCATTAGGACTAGCTAAAAGGAGTGAGAGAAAGCTTCTTTAAACAATGGAAGTCAGCTGGAGTGACTATGGGATGCTGATATGCAATCTATCACAATGAAAATAAATAACAATAAAAATTAAACAACCACAAAACAACAGAACAAAATCAAGTAAATAAAACGGGAAAGCTAGGCAAGCTGGCAATAAAGTAGCAAGCACCAAGAGCCATTTAGGCCTTAGTCACAAGAGGTACCTCACAAGAGGAAATTATCTGCCCCCAGTTTTAGAATCCCTGCATCTGGTCTGTAGCACTTTTATGAGGAGCATTGCAAGAATTAAAACTGAGGTATTGAGAAAGCACTGAATGAAATAAGAGGGTGGTGAATATTTCAGCAGAAGAAGGAGGAAAGCTCTCTGTAACATCTCTGTTAATGCAGAACTCTTATTTAAATCTGAGTAAATTTAGAGCTACAAACTTTGCTCAATGTTATATATCAAAAGAACTGAAAATGTAAACAAGAGACTATCTGAAGCAGCAAAGCATAAGAAAAAAGGTACTGAAAGGCTTTTTTTTTTTTTTAATATATAAAAATAAAATGGCTCATGACCTTTTGTACACATTTGTATTTCAGAGATTACTGATTTGAAATTTTTTACGTCTCGGCCTCCCATAGCTAAGAAAGTAAAGCAATTTCTGGGTCATATGCAGTCATCATGTGAACTCCTAGATGCATTCAGGGGTTTCTTGTTTTAAGGATGCCTGTTTCCAGAAGTGACCTGAAAGGTTTCTGTTGTGGTGATGTCTCCATTGAAATTTTTGTGTTTACATGTTTCTTCTCTTAATAAAGTCCAGAACCAAAATGTAAACTAAGTTGTCTTTTCTCACAGGATTCTCCCCTCAAGAAAAACCTTGGAGCTGTTAGAAAAGCTACATAACATCAAAGCATTTCAAGAGGTATGAAGGCATATTTTCAGACCAGGTTTCAAGATGAGGCCAACCATCCCTCCCCCACTGCAGGGCTTCACCCATTTTCTTTTCCTATATATTGTCTTTTTGAGAAAGCTTGTTTCTAGGGAGGGCAGGGTGCAACTATGTGCAGAGCCTTATACCTTCTCAATCATTTATTATGGCTTTTGTTTCTCTGAGCAGAACTAATGCAAGTTTTTTTATAGACTGGAAAATTACTCCTACGAATTTCTGTAATAAAAATTTGAGATATTCCTGTGAAGGACTTTACCAAATAGCGCAGTTAGATAGTAAGGCTCCTACACTAAGTAATACACAATATCATGAAAACAGGATCCACAAAAGCAGTTGATGGACAATGGTCATAAATGTGCCATGTTCATATATAATATTTTTGGGTTTGCTTCTAAAGGCTTTATAGAAGATCTCAGCTCAGCTATGACTTCATAGTTCCTAAGGACTTTCTGTTTGAGGAAAGTTTCTGTGAAGGTGGCCATTTCATTTGTTTGTTTGATGCATCTTGCACTGTTGATAGGGTTATACAAAAGACAGTTTTGCCAAGTTTCAAGTTTTCCTTCTGTTGGAATCATTTGGGAGTTGCTGACATTTCAGTCTGAGAATGTGACACTTTAGTTCCAGGTGACAGAGTTTATTCCCAGATTTTGAAAGCAAGTGAAATCCTTTAAGATGCCTATTCATGAATTAGACCTTTTACTTTCCTAGGTAATCTTCTTTGTGGGAAAATAAGACAATACAGAAAAAAACCTACTTGACCAAAATTTCCGATTTTCTGGGAAAATAATCCTAACTTTTCATGATAGTCCTTTCCCTATGCACCTTCATTAAGTTTTTTCTCCAGTATACCTACCCTGTCCTTCACTGCTAGTAGAGAACCACCTACTTCTGCTGCTAGATAATCAAGTTCTTGTAAAGATTCCTCCTAGGTATCAGGTTTAAAATTCCTGTAGCCTGCCTGAGTATCAGAAAGAGCAGCTTTTCGGATTTCTGAATTAGAACAGAGAAAAGCATCTGTCTGGGACTGGATCTGCTTTCCAATTTTCCCTCTGCTGAGGTAACAAGGAGAAAGAGGTCCCATTATGGATGTCTGAGCAGCTCTGTGCAAGAATGCTAAACAGCACATCACTGACTTCAAGACACTGAATTAGGCTAAAATCCTCAGGATCAATTCTTGAAGATCAGAACAGTTAGAGAACTTTGGAAGAGGCAAAAATCTAATGTGTACAAGTTTCCATTAGATTCCACAATTTCAAACTACATAAACAAAAAGAACCCATGAAAATTATAGGGAAAATGTCTGTAACTGGAATAGAATCAGAAAAAATAGTTTCCAAAACCAGCTGTTCACTCATTTTAACTTCTAAGAGTAAGTCCAAATAAGAATTACAATTCTTATTTGGTTTTCAAAGGTTTTCAAAGAATCTGTAATCTGTGACTAAAGGTATGGCAAATTACCACAGATTTATGTTTAGCTCTGCCTTTTGCTTGGAAAATTTTGCAATTTTGTTGATTCAGCTCTTCCTGATACTGCTTGTTCTTCTTAGAAGAATTGGTTTAAAATTTTTTTTGCCTAAGCTCTCATCAAGAAACTCAAGAGTAGAGAAATATCCCCACTGTGGACAGAAAAGTCTTTGAAAGTCTTTGACAGAACTGTACTACCAGGTATGGTGCTGGATGGCCCAATCCTGTATTACTTTTATCGTTCTCCCAGTGGTTTTCATCTAAAAAATCAACAACAATCTCCTTTGAGAATGAAGATCTTTATAGGAGCACAGCCACTAACAACATATATGTGTGTGTGCCACCAGCATCTCCATCGTTTTGTCATTTCATAAATGCATTTATGGCCATCTGGCTCTCCTCTACAGAGGGTGGGAGATGAAGACTTTCTATACTGCAGAATTGGGTCTTGCCAGTAGTTTAATTTTTGTGGGGTTCTTAGGATGTAGGACTTTTAGGGATTTGGTGGGAAACTCATCCTTCCACTTTGTCCATTAGTGGTGAACTGCTGTTATGCTCATCCCTGCCATGTCTAAAAGAGAAAGTGGTGGTCAGACCTGACTATTACATAGCCTTCTACAGGGAGAATACACAAAAAAGGAAAGGCGGACCAACTGTTCACTTTAGCTTGCAAAAAATGGTGCTCAAAGAAAACAAATACAGTTAGCTATTTTAGAAGTAGGCTAGAAGAAAACATAAATGTTCCATGTTTCCCATAGCTCGTAAATGGTCATGCAGCAACCGTGTCTGACCAGTCTGTGCTAATAATGGTATCTTTGATTACAACTACTGGGTTGTATGAAGATTCATGGCACTGATTCTTAAAAAAAAAAAAAAAAAAGGTTTCAGAGCTGTGTTACAAGAGTTAAGAATTACAGCTTTTTACATGCCTGCTATTAATATGGCTTTTTTAGCAGCATCCAGAGCACTGAGAACATATCATTGACTTTCCAGGTGACTACGTGAAAGGTTGGGCTCAAAATACTTTTTATAAAATATACATGAAGCTTTAAAAATATATACACTGTTTGTTCTTTTCAGACTTTAAAATTACAGTATGCTGAAGTATTTGGACAAAGTTTGAACACTGGTGTGACCCAATAAAACTCTGGATTCAGATCTGTTTTGCAAGTCAGCAACAAACTACTCAATTTAAATGAAGGCTTTGTTCTGACTCATTTTAATCATGTAGATAATCTCAAAAGAAATCAGAAGTGATCTGGATTTGACCCAAATTCCATACCTTCTTTCTACCCATATATGAATGTACTGAGATACAAAAAAGTGAATGTATATAAAGTGTCAAACTGCATAATGTTTTTTTTTTTACTTGACTTAACCAAGAGAAGAGTAAGAGGACAACTGGGTAATACAATATTATTTATGAAGTTCAGTCCTATAATAAGCTGTGCTCAGGAGAGGAAAAGGTTAGTCAGAGGAGAGAAAACCAGTTTCATGCAATCAGTGGTCACAGCTGGGGAAAAAAACGAGTTAAATGTTGCCAACATTTACTATGAATTTACAAATTACATTACTGAATTCTGTATCTTAGTATAAATCAAAAATGGTGGTAGCCCAGAGGCTACAAACTCCACAAACCTGCATATTGCTAACAGTATTTTAAATAAATCTCTTCAAACTCTACTTGCTTGCTTTTAATGCATTTGGAACACGTATGTATTGAACTTATCTTCTTTTTTTTTTAAGTAATGTGTTTGATACACCTTAGCTGACCACAGAAGTATGTGACAACATAATTTCCTACTACCAAATCTGATATGCCAAGTGAATTTTTTTTTAAACAACTGTTGCAAAACACTGTCAGACTGCATACATGGAAAACTACTAACAAAATACTTGTATGTGTAACAGGATAACAGGCAAGCTCGAATTCTGTTCCCCTTTGACAACCTGTTTGAACAAAATGGATGAGGAAAAAAGGAAGCATAATTACATGAGAAGTGGCAGCAGTGTTGGTTAAGGTGGTGCCATCTGACACAGCAGACATCTGGCTCAGGGTTGGGGAAGGTGTTTCAGAGCGGTCAGTAGTATCATAGCTACAAGTCTGCAGCTCATCTAGAATGGCTGTGGAGGACTCACTCACTGTGCGGGAGGAGCACTCACTCATGGCAGAATCTGTGCTTACAGAGGCTGTTTCGTTCCTGTGGATAATACTTTCAGAAGCTAGGTATGGGCATTTATATGAAAATTGTGAAAGGGCTGGGGTTTTATAAAAATGTGAAGGCAAAAAATCATCAAGCGTTGGCAAAGAATATGGTACTAGATGGGTGTCACTGTCTGGTGAGAAAGAGGCTCTGTTAACTGGTACCACAGGAGAAGGAAGAGGCAGTGGAGAAGCTTCTGTTGTTGTTTGTCTGTGTGTCTGTGAAGCATTTACCTCCATCACAGGGGCAGTTACTTTCTGGTTTCCAAGCTGAGATTTGAGGAAAAAAAATAAGAAAAGAAACAGATTACTGAATGAATAAAAACCTTTTCCCTTTGGCTCTTGCTGGGTGTAGGAGAATTACAAAACTGTAAGTTTTTCAGCCACCCGAGGAAGTTCACATTCACATGGATTAGGAAATAAATCAATCACGCTCTACATTAGACTAGGAAAACATAAAAGAAATGAATGCATAAAATAATAGTGGAAGCAATGCCAGAAACCATAGTGTGCTGAGAATGAATAATCATAATGTACTGCATATATTAATGATCTCCATTGTGTACTGAGAAGGTTCACACTATTTTATACTTACATAAATATGAGGCTAGAGAATGTCATGTCCATTTTGTTTTCAAAAGGAAAAATGTATCTATCTCAAAGTCTGATCTCTATAAATGTTACTCTGCTGGGGTTTTTTTGTCTAAGGCAGGTATTTTGAAATTAACCATAATATAAATATGAGCAGGACTGCAAGCTAAAAGAAACACTACTAATGAATATGATCTGAAAGCAATAGGTGGTGGAATTTTTCGCCTCTTGTGACTGAATACATCTTCTCCACTGCCTCTCTAATAAAAATATTTGGATGATTTTAGAATTTCCAAGCACCCTGGAAGCACCCTGTCAACCTACTCTATAAGGTGTATGCATAGGAGCCTTTTCAACATTAGAGGACACAAGGATTGTTAGGGTAACCGGTATATATATCTGAGAAACAACACAGACTGGGAGCACAAGGACAGGGAAGACTTAATACTGAAACAAAACATGCTAGTTGTTTGGATTCAGCATAGTTCCTTAAAAGTATAAGGGAACAGCCTCATGAGCGCTTCTGAAAGCTGCCACACAATGTATGAGTTTTCTGTTCTGTTATTTTAAATGAGCCACAGGGAACTGAGCTTAAACTAGTCCTACAACTGGCTTTTTGCATCTGCAACGCCTTTCTGAATTAAAGATACATGAAAAACATGTTGGCATCTAATATTTGTTAAACAGCTGCACAAATCCTTCTATACTGCCTATTAACTACAAGCTTTCAATCAACTCCTGAATTATGTCAAAATACTGCCTACTTCAGCACTAATGGTTTCACTTTTGATAGGGCTGAGGAAGTCTGGAATAGCTGCTGCAAAACAGATTTGTTCGGGATTTTAAATTTATGTAAAATAGAGGACAATAAGATACCATGTGTAGTAATTACTACTTAAAAAGCAACATTTAGTCATAGATATCACATTGTTACCAGTAATATAGTTATTTCCTATGCTTAGACTAGGCAGATGTCTTTAATCATTCAAAAAATGTTTCAAGCCATCAGATTTAAATGCCATTTTGGTATTTTAATCCAAAATCTGCAAATATCTTCTAAAGCCCTTATGGAAGACTTGGAACACGACCCAGATTATGCTACTTATGAGAGGTCACTGGGGGTCCAGTTGCATAATTCTTGCTGAGATCAACTAGAATTTACACAAATAACCTTGATGAGGTCAATGGGACCATCCCTATGAATAAGCACTTCAGAAAAGAATCTTAAGTATGTGAACAGATATCTGTCACTTGTTCCACTTGATTCAAAAGAAATCTTTGGCATTAGTGGACCTCTAGGGTACACAAAAATAGCCAAAAGCTGCTGTTAAAATCAGCAGTTAAAACAGTGGAGAAACTTAGTCAAACAGCTTAAAATTCAAATCTTATCCACAGCAATATTGTAAATCTACAGTTGAACAACCCCCCTCAAACTTAATCTTTTCATAGAGGAAATATGAACAGATTAATTCTTAATCAAAAATATGAATAATTGAGTATATATCTATAAAAGGGCATAGAATTTTTTGAGAGGTCAAATTTGCCAACAGAAACATCAAAAGAACAATGGGATATTATTAAAATTAATTTCATGAGAAATTAAGATCGCTAGACAGTATAATGTTAAGAGGGGTTTTAGATGTGTGCATTTACGTAGACATATAAGAGACAGTAATTTCACCTCACAGGTACATAAAGGGAAGACAGAATCATAATTCCTGATGAATTTCATCATCTGTGTAATAATTCAAGGTCTCCAGCAAAATACACTAACCAGGAGATCACACTGCAATTATGAGCCAGAGCCAATAAGAAGCTTTGAAGTTCTTGAGACCAGATATCCTCTCAGCATTCCCAGAAGAAAAGTTATATATGACTGAACCAAAATATGTGAATTCATCTCATATTGTTAAAATAACAGGAATTTTTGAAGAGTTGAGAAATCTAGTAAACATTCTGGCTTTGAACTGAGAAGACTGCTTGCATGCTTGAGAAAAGAAGGGATGGACAATACAAGAACAGATATCCAGGGTGCATCCAGAGAGCTAGTGAAATTGAGCTTTTAAAGAATTTAATTCATTGTGTTTGGCAAATAATAGCTAATTTCATCAAGCCAAATTCTTAAAAATAATATAAAGCTATTATTCTTACAATAGGGGTAGAAGGAATGCAGAAATTCTAGGTACTGATTCCCAATATGAAGCCTCTCAGCTTTGTAGAGTAAAACTTCTACTCTGCCTGGTTATAGAATTCTGTCTAGGTATAACCATTACTCTGGGAAAAAGTGGCTTAAATTGTCATTTAAAACAGCATTGTTTTTGAAAACTGATTTACACCATTTAAAAAACATGCAGTCTTGGTAAATTGCAAACAGATATAACTGGCTACTACTAATTCATATTTTCCACTGTGCATGAAATCTCATATATATCACAGTGAAAAAATATGACAATGCTGAACGCATTTCAGAAAACTTCTAATACTAGTTCCATTCAGCAAGCTTCAGATTAGGTTTGTTATTGATAAAGCACAAGAAATGCTAGCAGCAGTCAGGCAGATTAAATGCCAGACAAGGACTTAATGAGATTGATGAAAAACTAGTTAGACTATGTAACTATCTTGGGTTGTGAAGCAACACTTGAGAAATAGATTAATGCCATTGGTCTTGAAGTGAATTGAAGGCCTCAAGTGTAACTTTCTGATGGTCCTCAGAAATACTTCCCTTCCTTCAAATAGTATAATGTTAGGCCTGAAGAACACAGCTGCTACCCAATTCACATGAAGCAGACAGGTGACCCTAGTATGGGTTTCAAAACCAGTCATCTATTGTTTCAATGTAAGATCTGTGAGGAGTGGTGTGAGATTACTAATGACACCAAAGTACTGGCCTTGCTTCAACAGTCAAGACACAGATAAGGAGACTCAGAGATAAGTGAATAAACTCATTTTGTTAATACATAGCAGAGTTTAGTAGTCAACAATCAAATTACACCCATACATTTGCACAAATGGGTAAAAATACCTCTATTTTTAATTTTTAAAAGCTGAGTTCAAATCTCCAAACTGACACGGCAAGTCATATTTCTATGTTCATTTTTATACCTAGCCCTCTTATTCAAAACTCACTATATGGAGGTGGAGTTCAGCCCTTGTCTAAAACCACAACAGTGATGCAGAACTTAAAATGAAAATTATGTGCTCAATTTTCTTTGCTTCACATCTGTCCCGAATATTGAAACCTGTCTTCTCTATCTTCTCTACCACTCTGTATTGTCAATACCTAATAAACAGTAATGTACTAAATAAAGTGATTCAGACTTTTTTTTTTTTTTATTCCAGGCTTATTTTCCTTGATCTATTTTTCTACAGCTATAAGGCTAGCAAAAGAAACACTTTCATAAACATCTGCTATAGTAGTTTTTATACCTCTTGGACATCAGGACTAAAATAAGTGTTCAGTCATATGAGGAATTCAAATAACAGGGCAAATGTTTTGCATCCTCAGTTTTAGAGAGAGAGATTTAGAACAATAGGAAATTTAGGAACCCAGGAACAAAATAACATAAAAATACCAGGTAATTATTTCTGAAGATGCAGCTCAGAATTCTTCATTAGTCTAAAACTTCTTCTAAGAAACCTGCACAACAGAATTTATATAAATCATCTCATACCAATGAATACTAATTTCTTGGTTAAAATAGATTCACTTATTTCTCCTGTATCTGCAGTGTGGTACAAAGCAGCAGCATCTCTTGAGACTGTAATAATGTAAAAAAACCCTAATATTGAGTAATTTGAATGCTTCTATTTTCATATATAATTTTAAGGAGTTTAACCTTTCTCTGAGTAGGAGTGTTTACAAAATGTCATTCAGTGAGTCATACCACACTTCTGCTTGCTCCTAAAGTTTCAAAAGTAAGCTCTGAAGTGCAAATAGGAGCACAAGACACATTAACTTGGACCATACAAACTCTCTCTTGCCTGTATATTTCCAAACTTTGTAACATAATAGAATTGTATATGTTCACTACACACAGATACCCACAGATGAACAGTATTTCTCATTTGCCACCTCTTAAGAAGTGATGATTAGCTGATCTTACCTCATTCTCCTCCACATACATAAACCCAGATGCAGAAGGAGAAGTGCAACTTTCTGAGTGTATTTGTTTTTTGAGAATTTCTGTGGCAACTTTGAACATTCCTAGTAGGCCTAATTTACACTCTGAGAGCATCCTTCGAGGATACTGCTAATATAAAACCTATGATCTGCAAGGACAAAAGTATTTTAACTCATGTACCAACTCCTGTACAGTTTGCAAATCTAAAACAATCTTAGAAATGAAAGTACTGTCATGCATAGTATACTGAAACTTTTCTATGTGAGAGAAATTGTGAACGTGATACCATGATATATATATATATATATATATATATATACATATATATACATATATATATATATATATGATATATCATGATATATAGCACTAAAAGGAATCATAATTTTTGGCATTAGTTAGAATAGTGTCAAGGTTTAAAACCAAGATCTGAGTCAGAAAATAAATATTTTTAAACATATAGCTTCAGCCTTTATTTCTAACTTTAGCTCACGGTGTCTTCCTTTTGGAACTTCACCTGATGCAAAATTTTACACATCTCACATGCTGATTTGTACTCTAGTTTTAGATAGGTATTTTAACAAAGAGTCAGCAAAACCTATTGGCTCCATGACTCAATTGTGATGCCAAATATATGTCTTCATTAGAATTATATCAAAGTTGAACATCATGGAGGATGTCAGCTGAATTTTGTAGACAAGAGACCAATAAAGGAATACAGCTTGAAAAGTTGGCTACATTCTTTAATGATCTTTGTGATAACTGAATTTTTTATCATTTAATTCAAAACAACCCAGTTGCCAAATTTCTCATAGTTCCTCCCACACACTAAAACCAAGAAGGCAGAAAAATAAGTGTAGAATTGCCAAACAAGCCACAGCTACTTTCCTGATTTTTTTCAGCTCATACCAAATTCTAAATTAAAAAGAAACTGCAAAATATGTTTTGACTTTTAAAATCCTAAATAAAAGTAGGTAAAAGATAAATTATTTTTAGTCCTTCTGATTAGACTTTGAATATTTGAAATTACTCTTGTTTAGAAAAACGTATTTCTCCTAATCCTTGTTAGCTGTCATATAACTACTTTATGTTTGAGAGATATTTTGATTTATCTGAGCGTTTATAATGCATCATATTCTAACAGGCTGAACAACTATTTTCAAGTGAGAAGATAACATAGACACAGAAGTTTTACTGGCCCCACCTACACACTTACACCTCTTCTACTGTCTGTCAGTATCCCTTGATGCCCATATTTAAGACTTGCAAGCCTGTTCTTTATAATCTTCATATCTACCCTATCTACTAGAAAAAGCTGTTGCTCTGCTTTCCTTACTGTTTCTGACGTGATTTCTTTACTGTGGCTCTTGCTTGAACTGACTTGTTCTATCTGACAAAAATCACTAAGTAGCAGACTGGTTCTTCTAAAGGGTAAAGCAACTTGTTTCTCTCAAAATGTTCTAAATTTTATGCAGCCTAAAAGAAGGGTTTAAGATGATTGATTTGTGTCTAGTCTGGAGAAAGACAAATGTGATTAATCTTTCTGTGCTCCCATTTTTTAATGGAGTGAATTCAAAAGGAGCATTGTGGATTGCTGCCGTACACTTTCACAGAGCTTTGTTATGATCAAAACTTTTACTTGGGACTTGAAGGGGAAAACAGAAATATTACAACTTTAAAACTATCCTGTTGCTGCTAATGCAGATACTTGTGGCTTCCAGAGTAGAGACCTGGTTGAATGCTGATGCTCTGAAAGAACAACAGACTGGGAACGCAGATGTGTTACTACTGTTGAGAACAGGGCTGTCAATGGACTTTTTAGACTGCAAAATAGTGCCATACTTAATTCAGAGTAGCCTCACTGCTTCCAGCAGAACTAGATGAACACAAATATGCCATGACAGGATCCCCACTCAGATAAAACTTCGAGGCACATATGCTTAGATCTACAGCAATCTCTACGTCCAACTAAAGGACTTCCTAACATAGATAAGCTGGTATATTAGTAGATATACTAGAATAATTAACTTTTTAAATAGTACAATTTTAATGTGACTAAGTAAAGCAAACTAGAAATGACAAATTTTATTCAGAGCTTTCCTTTCTCCTAGTATGTATCCACTGCTGCTTTATTGGTCCCAGGTTTGCTTTATTTGACTCAGTGACTTTCTGAATGGTGATAAATGCTGCTCAGACTCCTCTGGTCCCATGTTGTGTGCCTGATACTCTCATTTCTCCTATAAGAGATCGGTATGGCTAACAAAGATTTTTCATCTCAGTAGGTGTAAGGGGAAACAGAGGGACTTAAAAGTCTTAAAAGACTTAAAAGTGCCTAGCCTTGCAGAAAGCACCCACTGACACTATTTATTCTTTGTGCGCCTAGCAGACTGGAAGAGCTGCATTTGTAGAACTCTGCCCCACAACCAACCTAATCCTTTCTATCCATACTTGACCCTTCCAGCATCTCTGGCAGCATAATGCTCTAATGTGACCCTCTCCAGGAAGAGTCACTTATGCAGATGTATTGTCTACAATGCACTCATTTCCTACAGTGCATTTGACCTCCATAAAGTACTCACAGAGGAACAAAGTCTGCCACCCAGCTCAGCTAGATAATTAATTTTTTAAAAATAGTCTTCCAGAAACTTCAGGTTTTATTAATTTCTGTTTGGATCCACATGACAGGTAGTTTTACCCAGAAAACACAAGATCTAACTTTGATAATGTAAGTATAACTAAACAGATGGTTATTATGTGATTCACGAAGATCTAAAATAAAAGATGGAAAAATTAAATATACCACATGGCATTCTGCAGCCTGTGAAGAAGGAAGAACTGTAGAGTTTTGTCCCAAATCCTTTGAAGACATCTTTGAAGTGTCTGGAGAAATACTAGGTGGATGTTCTTGGATTTCAGGCTCTGCTTTATTGTCAGGGGAGGGAGCTATCTGAACGGAAAGAGACGCTGTGTGTATCTCAGGCAGGGGGTTACAGGCAGGTGAGACAGGCCTTTGTGGAAATACTGGCTCTTCAACAGGCTTGAGGTGTTGCTGTGAATTACAATGAATGCTACTTGCTGGATCACGTGCCCGGGTTAATTTCAGGGTAGATACCTTACGTTTCTGAGACTGTAGCGTCTGGCCTTGATGAAGAGTAGTACTTATACCAGCTACTGTGTTTATGCCAGCACCGGAGTTTGAGATCAGTGGTTTAATGATTTTCTGTGCATAGGACACACTTGTGTTAGCTATTTGAGATGACATTGTCTCCTGAACAGACTTCTCATCAGTGTAATAGGCAGTATCTGTGGGATGGTGTTTAGCTGGACCAGCTGTTACTGCCTGGAGATTAATTTCGTTCTTGTGATTAGCTACTCTTGCTTTTCTAGGGGGTGGCAGAGGTGCCTTAGTTGCCAAAAGCATCCACACACAGCAAAATAACATTGAAGAAGAAACAGAAAGAAAGTAAATATTAGCAGGAGATACAACTCAGTTTGACTTTTATCTTTAAATAAAGGAACTGGCAACTTAAGAGCCTTCATCCCAACATTGCTCAATTCAATGGACAATCAAATGGTCAGATTCCCACCACCTTTTCCTGTGCAGAACTGTATAGCTTCTATCTAGAAAACCAGATGTTCCATTTGTTCAGAGTAAACTGGGATCAGAAGTGAGCCCACAATCATCTATTTTCTTTCAAAAAACAATTCTTACACTGCATAAGAACTATTACTGTGAAATTGTTTAGGTGTGTAAGTACTCCATGATATTATATTGCAAGTTATTATTCACAGGTAAGACACACATATAAAACACACAGAGCCTCTTAAACCTTTGAATTAAAATAGTAACAGAGACAGTATTAAAATTGGTAAGCTGATATTTTTTGGACAGATAAATATGTTTCCAAGTGTGGTTTTTACTTAAGCATGCTCTAATTACATTCTTCTGCAAAACAGGCAGAAGCATTTTCTATCTTATAATTAATAAACCCTCATTCTCAGATATTTTGATGACTGGTGCATTTTTCCAAGTGTAAACCATTAATAAATACTCTTTGAAGTCTGAGAATACTCCTAGAAAGCTTTTACTTGTGTATGACCTACTTTTATTTAGACGTCTGTCTTGCTCATTGAAAGTAATTTCTGGTAATTAACCTGGAGGCACACAGCCTGTGTGGAGAATGCTTTATCTACGCAGTAATGGCCAGTCTCTTCGCGAACGAAGAACCGGGGAAGGTCTTTCCACCTTCCAGCCTGCGCATTGGATTTTTTAGGTG